TGGAAGGTCGGTGACCCAAGTCACGCTTCTTCAAAGCGCAAAGCTACGGCAGCCCCGCTGCATACTGGCGATCCCGCCACGAAATGACTTCTTGCTTAATGTAGCATCTTGTGTAAACCACACCCTGCATACTAGGGTACGTGAAAATCCGTTACACTCTCCCCCATCAAGATTGTGAACACCTACATTGAGCAAAGAATTCGTGAAGAAAGTCCTGGTGATGTTGTGGTGTCTTAGACACGCGAGCCTCATTCGAGGCGACAGTTGAATGTGAACTGCGCCCTGTGTCGAGGGCACGGAAAACACTCAGCCTCGCTGGTTCCGAAAAGGCCCGCGGGCAGAGCCCTTCTTCGTCTCCTGCACGTGGTGCAACTTCGGACAGCACGTCTGCGGCCTTAAGGGAAGCGCAACCTATGCTTCCAGTAATCGAGTACCACGCAATGCATTGTCAGTGATAGTGTCGCACGACCAACAACTCAGATGATTGTTTACACCCAACCGCGCACCGCGCCCCTTACGGGCGATGATCAACCTGGTCGAGGCTTTAGGGGAAGTCGACTACGAGTCAGACACTCCTTTTCCAGGATGGAAAGAGGAAAAAGGCAAGGTACCCGAGCGGCGCGATGTAAGCCTTGCTCGACTTCCGGGGAATGTGGTTATGAGATGCATTGACTGCTTCGAAACTTGATAAGCACCCAGTGGGTTACTAGCCACTCCACGTTCAGCCCGAGAGCCATGTTCGGGACTCCTCTCTGAAACATCTTTGGTGCTCACCGACTCAAAAACTCCGATCTCCAGTACGCTGACCGTCTCGGTCCAGTGCCCGCGCCAATAGCATTTTGCCTCCTAGCAGAGGTGGGTTCGTGACTCACCAAAGTTCCACCAAGAAACCGGCACGGAGCGCCCAAGGTCTTTGACCTCCTGTCGATCCATGGCTTATGGTGTCTGCCACGCTATACCAAGGATGAGGTCAAATTTGAATCCAAGTCTAAAACTAAGCAGCGTTCCACGCTATCAAAGTCGAGGGACTTGCCAGTGAGGTCCACGGCACCGTGACACATGTCCCTGTCGCTAAGCAAACAAGAATAATGTCACTCAATCGCGCCTTCAGCGCCTCAACATAAAGCTGACTTTCTTCCATCGTGGAGCGTCGACCATAATTGCCCGACGCCCTAGAGTCTATAAGGATCTTCCATTGCTTCTCAAAGCACTTCACGGTCGCTTCTGCAACCAGCAATCCCGACTTGTATACACGTTCCGTGTTCAAGAGCACGAAGCTCTTCGGGGCTGGACCCTGCTGATATCTACCTTTTTGAGGCCCAAAAGAACTCAGTTCTTTCCAAATAGGTCGCCCCGCGCTTACTGGATGTACAATCTATAAGACTGGCAAGAAGCGGGACGTTGGTTCGATGAACCTTGACGCGCCATGGGCAGGAAGCAACCGACCCAAAGTTGACAGTCGGGTGTTCAAACGCTGCTTGGCAGCTCGGAGCGCTGCCTCCCCGTCCTCAGCATAGCTGAAATCTATGGGCACAGACCCGCTCGACGAGCTGTTAGAGTGTGCATTCCAACCAAGTCGTGCCGACTTGAATTTGAATTTTGCATTCAATGCCATTTTTCACCGCCTCTTCAAACGAAGACGGATGCAAGCCGAAGACTTCCATTCTGGCCACACCAGTGCGGAGATTTTCCATGAAGACGATCACAGTGACCGCCTCCGGAAGGGGGTCTGCTGCCATCCCGGTAATGAGAGTGCGCATCTCTTGGACAAAGTCCACC